GAGGCTCTATGGCTTGCAGCAGCTGACTTTCTATGTTTTTGGGGACACACCAACCAAGCAAGGGAAGCCAATGCAACCCTAAGCGTTCAAACTCTATGGCTTCCAGCAACTAATTCCATGCTGCGAGCAAGTCAATTAAACAAGGCAATCCGCCTAATGACTGGTAGGAGGACTCCCCGAAACGGAAGGAGGACTCCCCGAAACGGAAGGAGGACTGCCAGGAACGGAAGGAGGACTCCCGGGACAAAAGGAGGACTCCCCACCCCACCCCAATGAATGAAACAAACAAACAGTACCGACCACTGTCTTGACTGACCCTTGCTTCTTTCCAATTTTGCCCCTGGCCTCCCTTTGATTTGACTGCAAGAAGGCACCTACAAGTTGGAGGCCATGCCCATCACAATGCTGCTGATTGATCCGTGGCCTCAGGTTGTTTTGTCAAATTTTGTGAAGCATTATTTGCTTACAAAATGCCAAAATCAAAGCTGTCAACAGTGTTGCTGCCTCTGCAAGTTTGCATGAAACGCTTCAACAAACTCATCGTGAAAAGAACCCACCAGACTCTGGATGTCTGGGGCCCACGCTGAGGTTCAAAGGCCCAGCAGTGACAATAACATCAGTGACAGGGACAAAATCAGCAACATTGGCAGCAACCAGACAATGACAGTGATCAGTGACAATGACTGACAGTGATCAGTGCCAATGAGAATCACTCAGTTTCCACTTGCATGGGTGGCCATTTACCACCCATGCAAGTGGAAACTGAGTGGATGGCAAATCCTCCATGTCAAATGTACGTTGTCAATGTGTTTTTTTGTACTGTCATGGTATACATAACCAAAAACTCCTAACTCCTAACTAAACAGAGGCCAGTCACTCCCGTATACGATCGATGGGAGTCAAAGTAATGCCACCTCCAACGTCGTCCGTGAACCCAATGCGATTTGAGTCCAGGCGCTCCTTAGCTAAGATCGGAGCCGCAACCTCGGCCAAGTCCAGCAGAGCCCCTGCAGCAGTACGAAGGATTGCAAGAGCTTCTTCTTGATCCCGAAGTAGCAATCCCCCGCACAACAACTCACGGACCCTCTTGTGAGTTCGACAACACCTACACGGGCTACCTTGAAATAACCCGCGCGCACAGGGCAGGTCATTCACAGCTAAAGCCCAAACCCTGCGGAACGACGGTATGAGGTGCATCTTACATTACGGGGCCGTAACTACATATGTTAGCCGCAAAACTCACTAAAACATCACATAGCCTGCGTAGCCTTTGCAAATGACCGAGACAATCCATGTGCCTCGATTTGTGGTGGCGGCCTGCACAGTACAGCACTGGGCACCTCGAAGTGGCTGAACATTCAAAAATTCAAAGAGAATAAAGTCATGCCTGATAATGTTGCATAAATCATGTATGTCACTTCCGAAAAATCCAAAAAGCTTGTGAGATGGGCCTTCGAGTCACTTGATCAATCATACTGTCGATAGGAAGAATGATTGGATACATTTCTGGCAAACATTGCATGATCATAGATAGATACTCGTCGATGATTTGACTACAATGTTCTACTATCTGAGGTAAGGACGGCGACTGCTATGAACTGAACTGCCGCAAGCATGAGAAGCAACACCTCAAAAACTCAGCAGCTGCCATCTGCTTCCAAACATGAAGGCAATGGTCCTGGTTCTCCAACGTTCTCAGCAAGTCTTCCTTCCAGAAACTGTAGCATCAATCAACTGATATCGGCATGCGCACAGTCCCCCCATAGCAGGCAGCTACGGGGCAACTTTGGCAATGCTAGAAATAGTGTGGTCTGAATATGTCAGAGTACAGGATTCGGTTTCGACCTCAGTGTGGCTCGGTCCTGTTTGTTTGTCATGCCTGGGGCACGCTGTTTGCTTCGGGCCGCCTATGTGACCTCTGCCTGAAATCTTTCCAGAAGACTGGTCAGCGGTACATCCGTGTGTGTGTGCCTGAGTCATTCCCAGATGTAGTCCTATAAGGACTAAGTTTGTTTGTCACCTTGCCTGTCACCTCCACAAAGTCAAAGAGTGTCCTCCCTGGGCTGAGGGTTCTTCCTTTTGAGGTTAAGCACTGAGCTGCCATCTGTTGTCCTTTGGTGCTTGCTTTCGTTGATGGGATACTGGGTTACCTCCCCCAATTCTTGTCCGTTCAATCAATTGACAAAGAAAGCGCTGATTACAGAACAGGGATTTTCAAAGTTTTACTGAGTCCCGAACAGCGCTCAATCTAGTTCTCCTCGGGCGGTGTGGATTTCGTTTGAACATGAGGCAACAGTTTGTCACATTTTCAGCTTCCGTCACCGAACTACTAGAAACGTACTTTGACGTCCACTGGAAAATAATTGCAGCTAGACTGACTGCGTCTGGCAACTATGAGACTGAGACTATGAGCTGCCAACAATACATTAGCGTTGCCCCCACGAATTTTCTGTGAGGTGAGACACGACTTGATGTCTCGAGTCGTGGAAGAACTGCTGCCCAATCAGCGCAATGTCCGAGCTGTTGTAACCTGTCTTGGCAAGGAGCTAAAGTCCTTCGAGTGAACCATGCCAAGAAATGACAAAGCACATGTTTCAAAGCAAAACTATGTTCAAAGGGCCATGCAAAGTACCAGGCCATAGTAGGATTCGAGCAAAACTGTTCCAATCCGTTACTTCTGCCCTGAATAAGCTAGCATGAATGAGCAACCTCCTGGCTGAGGGATATCCAAACGGCGTTTCATTTTTGGTGGACACCCTTTGGGTCCATTTGGCTTGAGGGGTTCGTGCGAAAACTGATGGTGTGCAATGTGCAATCACAAGAACATCAAATGCCTAGTAGGCATGTGAATGTATATATGTTCCACGGTGGGTGATGGAATCTGTCCGATCGAGTTCCTTCCAATCAAACAACCTATGGAAGGAGAATGAACAGGTCTCCAAGTCAGGAAAAGGGCGTGGGACTTCACAAGGACATTGGGTGGAGTTTTATTGCAAAACCTTGTGAAACAGCAAAGCAAAAAGAACCCGGCATAATCAATAGTGTTGTTCTTTTCAGGAAGTGGACACTATACAAACACAAAAACATGAATTACTTGACTTCGAGTGATCCCCACCATGACATTTCAATCGTTTGTCTTGATGCCATAGTGAGGAGCATGTTGCCATAGTCGTCAGTATTGTAGTTCTCGATGTTGCTTGTGGGTCCTCGGGTTGTGTGCTGTGGTTGTGTGCTGTGTTGTGGTTGTGGTTGTGTTTGTGGTTGTGTGTTTGTGGTTGTGTGTTTGTGGT